TGCCCTACCTGATCAACATGCAGGGTGAATGAGGTTGTTAGTAACAAATGCAAATTATCCTAAAGGAAATCTGTAAAACCCTGTTATAACACTAGCACCAGAAATAACATATTTTAAATATTTTATTTGTTTATTTTAGAGGTAGAGCTACAGACAGAGAGGGAGAGACAGAGAGATCTATCTTCCATCTACGGGTTTACTCTTCAAATGACTTCAATGGCCAGAACTGGATCATTCCAAAGCCAGGAGGTAGAGCTTCTTTTGGGTTTCCCACATGGGTTCAGGGATCCAAAGACTTGGGCCATCTTCCACTGCTTTCCCAGGCCACAACACAGAGCTGGATCAGAAGAGGAGTAGCTTGAACTCAAAGTGGTGCCCATATGGATGCTGGCACTGCAGGCAGAGGCTTAACCCACAGCACTGGTCCCCAAAAAATAACATTTTAAATTTCTTTATGAGTTGAACAAATTTCAATTTTATCAGTCTAATGCGTAAATATTTATAAATCTAGGTAACTTACTTAGAGTTGAGGCAGATATTGCTGGTCTTAGTAACAGATCATGCTCAGAATTTTTTTTAAAGATGTACTTATTTGACAGGCAGAGTTATAGACAGATAGAGGAAGAGACAGAGAGAGAGAGAGGTCTTCCATCTGCTGTTTTAATCCCCAAGTGGCCACAAGAGCCAGAGCTGAGCTGATCCAAAGCCAGGAGTCAGGAGCTTTTTCTGGGTCTCCCACATGGGTGCAGGGGCCCAAGGACATGGGCCATCTTCTATTGCTTTTCAAGGCCATAGCAGAGAGCTGGATCTGAAGAGGAGCAGTTATGACTGGAACTGGCAACAATACGGGATGCCGGCACTGCATGCATTGGCCTTATCCTCTACGCCACAGCGCCAGCCCCAACCCTCAGTATTATTTAGACAAAAGGAGATAATGTTCCAAGGGAAAAAGCATCTTGGATGAAACATGCTTGGTATTATGCTGACTATAATTTATAGCACAGAGGTGGGTTTTGGGCTTTGTAGTGAAGATGTGAGTTCTTATGCTCATATCCCATATTTCAGTGCCCAGTATGAATCCTGACTCCATCTCTCAATTCCCGTTCTCTGCTAATGCAGACCCTGGGAGGCAGCAATGACAGCTCAAGTAATGGTGTTCCTGCCACACATTTGAGAGACTTGGATTTGACTTCCAAGCTTCTGGCATCAGTCCCATACTCCAGCCTTTGCAGGCATTAGGGGAGTGAACCAATGGATGACAGCTTTCAATCTGTTTTTCTCTTGTCTCTGTCACTATATCTCAAACTAAAAACTTAATTAAATTTACAGTATAGCAATTCATTATCAAGGAAAATACATATGGAGAGAAAGGATTGCAAAAAGCTCATGGAAATTCAATTAGAAGATTTTGGGGGCGTGTAAAAAATTTTGATACCATCCCTACAAGGGGTATTCAAAAAGTTTATGGAAATTTGTATTGTGAAAAAAGAATGCATAGATTTAGGGGCACGGTGGCATAGCAGGTAAAGCCAAGGCCTGCACTGCTGGTATCCCATATAGGTACTGGTTCAAGTCCCAGATGCTCCACTTCTGATCCAGCTCTCTGCTATTACCTGGGAAAGCAGTGGAAGATGGCTCATGTCTTTGGGCCCCTGCACCTGCACAGGAGACCCAAAAGAAGCTCCTGGCTCCTGGCTCCTGGCTTTAGATTAGTGCAGCTCTGGCCATTGCGGCCATCTGAGGAGTGAACCAGAGGATGGAAGACCGCCCCCCCTCTTTCTGACTCTGCCTCTAGTTATCTCTGCTTTTCAAATAAATAAATAAATATTTTTTAAAAAGTACGCATAAATTTAAAAAATGATTTGCACAGAAATGAAGGTATTTTAATTCAATTTTCATGACCTGACTGTGTGTGTGTGTGTTTTAAAAATTTGTTCCAATACAATACAACCCAGCCATCCCACTCCTTGGAATTTACCCAAAGGAAATTATATTGGTAAATAAAAAAGCTGTCTGCACCTCAATGTTTATGGCAGCTCAATTCACAATAGCTAAGACATGGAATCAACCCAAATGCCCATCAACAGAAGACTGGATAAAAAAATTATGGGATATGTACTCTATAGAATACTATACAGCAGTTAAAAATGAAATCTGGTCATTTGCAACAAAATGGAGGAATCTGGAAAACATCATGCTGAGTGAATTAAGCCAGTCCCAAAGGGACAAATATCATATGTTCTCCCTGATCGGTAACACCTAATTGAGCACCAAAGGGGAAACCTGCTGAAGTGAAATAGACACCATGAGAAACAGTGACTTGATCAGCCCTTGTCCTGATTGTCGAGCAACAACTTACTATTTTATTCCTTTTTGTATTTTTTTTGTTCTATTTAATACTATTGGTTGAACTCTTTAATTAACACACAAATATTCTTAGTTGTTTAAATTTAACTGAAAAGTGATCCCTGTTAAATGTAAGAGTGGGAATAAGAAAGGGAGGAGATGTACAGTTCAGCACATGCGCACTTGGACTTATCCCTAATGGTAGAGCTAGAAACGTACAGGGGATTCCAATTCAATCCCATCAAGGTGTCATGTACCAATGACGTCTTACTTGTTAAAGTGATCAGTTTAAGTTCATAATTGATCAAAAAGATGGGAATAAGTGTCAAAGGGATTACATAAATAAGACCAGCATCTGCAAATAATTGATAGAATTAAAAAAGAGAATTATCCTATACGGGAAACGGGATATACAGCAGATTCATAGAATGGCAAAAGCCTTGAACTGTACTCTGACTTCAGAATCAGCCCTTAAGGCATTCGCATCTGGCTAAGAAGCCCATGAGAGTTTCACAGGCATGGAAAGCCAAGACACGCTGGCAAAAAAAAAAAAAAAATGAACAAAATGAAAGATCTCTGTGAGTGAGATCCCATTGGAAAGAACGGGCCATTTAAGAAGGCAGTATCTTTCTCTGAAGGGAGGTGAAAACTTCCACTTTAAATATGGCCTCGTCTAAATAAGATCAGAGTTGGTGAACTCACGAGGCTTCCATGGCCTTGGAAGCTCATGACAAGAGCCTTGGGTGATTACTGACATCATAAATAAGAGTGTCAATTGTTAAATCAACAATAGGAGTCACTGTGCACCTGCCCCCCATGTAGGACCTCTGCCCTTAGTGCACTGTACCATGAGAAATAATGGTGAAACTACTACTCAAACAGTGCTCTAGACTTTGTGTGTCTTTTTGGGTGCAGTATGTTGAAATCTTTACTTAGTATATACTAAGTTGATCTTCTGTATATAAAGCTAATTGAAAATGAATCATGATGAAGTTGGGATGGGAGAGGGAGTGGGAGATGGGATGGTTGCGGGTGGGAGGGAAGTTATGGGGGGAAAAGCTGCTATAATTCAAAAGCTATACTTTGGAAATTTATTAAATAAAAGTTGAAAAGAAAAAAATTATTCTAAAAGTTGTTAGTCATTATTTATAATACTCTAACCCTGCTATGGATAATTACAATTTGAAAAATTCTATTAATGTGCCAACATTTCAGAGTACCAGAGTGTAAGTGCTTCCACTATTTTTATCATTAATCAGTAATAGCTAATGACCTGGGAAAAGCAACAGAAGATGGCCCAAGCGTTTGGTCCCTGGCCAACCACATGGGAGACCCAAATGAAGCTTCTGGTTCCTGGTTTCTGCCTTGCCCAACAATGTCTACTGCAGACACCTGATAAATGAACCAGTGGACTTGCTCTCTCTAATTCTCTCCCCCTTTGTAACTCTGACTTTCAAAATAAATACATATATTTAAAAAATAGTAAGTTGATCTTTTCACCATTTCATGGAAAAAATTTAAGAACCTAGTTATCCCAGTAGCTTATAGGCCTTTGAATTGAGGTTTATTCCCAATTTACTTTTTCTTAGTCTTTTTTTTTAATTTGACAGAGTTAGACAATGAAAGTTAAACAGTGAGAGAGAGAGAGAGAGAGAGAGAGAGAGAGAGAGAAAGGTCTTCCTTCCATTGGTTCACCACCCAAATAATCGCCACAGCCAGCGCTGTGCTGATCCGAAGCCAGGAGCCAGGTGCTTCCTCCTGGTCTCCCATGTGGGTGTAGGGGCCCAAGCACCTGGGCTATCGTTAACTGCCTTCCCAGGCCACAGCAGAGAGCTGGACTGAAAGAGGAACAACCGGGACTAGAACCTGGAGCCCATATGGGATGCTGGCACCACAGGCAGAGGATTAACCAAGTGAGCCTTGTCACTGGCCCCTAGTCCCAATTTATTTTTAATAATTTAGTTAAGGCCAGAGCCGCAGCTCAATAGGCTAATCCTCTGCCTGCGGCGCCGGCACACCGGGTTCTAGTCCCAGTCGAGGCGCTGGATTCTGTCCCGATTGCTCCTCTTCCTGTCCAGCTCTCTGCTGTGGCCCGGGAGTGCAGTGGAGGATGGCCCAGGTCCTTGGGCCCTGCACCTGCATGGGAGACCAGGAGGAAGCACCTGGCTCCTGGCTTCACATCAGCGTGGTGCGCCGGCCACTTGGGTGTGTGTGTGTGTGTGTGTGTGAACCAACGGAAAAAGGAAGACCTTTCTCTGTCTCTCTCACTGTCTAACTCTGCCTGTCAAAAAAAAAATAGTTTAGTTAAATTGTGGATCCTTTTATCTTATCTGACTAGAAGTGTTGTAGTAAAATATGTAGCTAGGGAAAGAACTGGGATTTGACAGTTCCAGTTGAACTGCTGCGGGACAGCTCCTCACTGATTGACATCTTCAGACCAACCACTATTTACATCTCGAGTTGATGACTGACATAGTTGACTGACACCTCCAGGTGATTCATGGTTTGACAGCCGCAGCCAATCTGCCACAGCACAGCTACTGCCAGCCCCTATGACAACCTGAACCCAACCCCCACGACAAGTCCTCTTGTATATACCCTTCTCTTTCTGAGATCTACTCAAACCTCCCTTTCTGTACATGTTGCAGGCTCACCTTCCATGTACCAGCAATCCCTTGTCCTTTCTGGAGTAGTGGAAATCACAAGCTCATAATGTTGCAAGCGTACAGCCAGCATTAGCTGGAAATATCCAACATGGTGCAAGATGTAACCTGTAGGTCATTATGATGTCAGTATAATAAAATTAGTATTGAGGGGCATGCCCACTCCCATAATGCACTTGATGCCATGACACAATATTTACCCAAACGGCACAGAAATGGATTGTGCTTGAGACCCACCCAAACCATCTCCTTTTGAATATTCAATTAGGCTACATCCTGACTTCACCCCTACACATCCAGAGGGTATAAAAAGAGGTCTAACCTTGTTGAGGGAGGTTTTTTGTTGTTGTTGTTGTTAAATTGAAGGTATCAGAAGACTACAAGGCAAAAAGGGAATATTTTTGTAACAATGCTAGGACATATATGAAGCATTCCTCACCCTCAGATGTGGGGAAAAAAGGGAAGAATTTATGTTATCAGAATCTAGAATGTGGGAAGAGAGCTGGACTGACAGAAAGGGGCATTTTCTATTTCTAGTAACTCTGAGGCTAATATAAAAGTGTGGAAAACAATTTGAGACTGAACCAATTGTCTGGGGAGAGAAGTGTTACTTGGTAAAGCTAACATGGGAAGGATCGACAACAGAAACTTGCATAGCCCTTCTCTCGTCCTCCTTGCTCTGTGGTTTCCCTCTAGTGCACTATCAGAGCATAATAGAGGAGGGGCAGAGAAGCAGAAATGCTTGCAACGACCCAGTCCAGCATCACAGAAGACATGTGCTCAAGGAGAAGAGAAATTGCTTAATACTAAACGCATTGGTTTTAGTGACCTTGCAACACATAAAAATTCAATACCCCTTTTCCAATCATTGTTTCTGAGGAGAGCCATATAAACAGTTTTGACTAATGGAATTTTTGAAAAAGTTGCATTGGGATTATTTTTTACAGTGAAATATTGAGTTTATGGAAGACAGGGTTTATAAAATAAAGTTTCTATAATGTTTAAGTTCAGCTTAAAGATTAATAATGATACCAAACACCCTTACACTTATCACCTAATTAAGGAATAGAACATTTTGTGTCTTAGAGATGCTTCTTTGACCCCATCCTTTTCTGAACTAATCACATGCCTATCACTTGGAATTTGTGTCAATAATTCTTTTATTTTCTCTATAATTTAACCACTTATCTATGTATTGTTTTCAAATTTACTGCTTCTGAATGGAAAACCTTGAAATGAGTCCACACAACTGACTTTTTTCAGTAGGGAAAGAAGAGTCTTTTCAACAAATGATACAGGAACCATTGGATATTCAGATGCAAAAAGACAGGTGATCTTGGATTCATACCTCATAGCAGTCAAAGATAAATCAAAATATATCATAAGCATAAATAGTTTTCCTAAGTCATCTAAAGAAAACATAAGAGAAAATCTTTGAGAATCTGAGCTAGGCAAGAATTCTTTATACATGATTAACAGAAATGGACAAGAAAATTAAAAGACTAGTAATAAATATTTCCAATGCTTATATAAGATAAATACTTTGTATCAATGATATATAAAGAACTCTTAAAACTCACTGGTAAGAATACCCAATTGTTAAAATATGTAAAATATTTTAATAAATATTTTATCCTGAGAAACCAGAATGTTCACACTTTTCTCATCGAATATAAATTATGCGATCTCTTTGAGAATCACTCGGCAGTCTCTCAATTGGTTAAATTCAGCTATTTTACTTGGAGAAAGGAAATGCATGTCCATACAAAGACTGATATTAGAATGTTCATAGCATTTTTTTGCAGTAGTCAAAACCTAGAAACAAAATGTTTATTAACAGAATAACAGATTAAAACAGAAATGCCAAATATTATGTTATTCAATAATACAAAGGACTGTAGTAATAACATATATGCATTGTATAAAAAATTCATAAGATCGAAAATGGCTGAATAGTGAGAAGTCACACTGACCTCAGCTGCAGAAAGATAACAGAAAGATCAAGGAAGAATCACATTCCCAGGGGAATGATGGCAGAAATTTTCAGCAGAGAAGTGATAGGACAGAACCCAAACCCTGTGGGACAGTTAGGTATGACAACAAACAAACATGGCTGGCTGCATTACCAGCCAGCTTTGCATCTATGTAGCTGGCTGTTGGCTGGGAAACACCATCTTCTCAGACAAGGTAGGAAAAAGTTGCCATGAAGCCCTGCGACCAGCAGCTTAGAATTTCACATTTCCCTACTGCCTTCAGGTTCAGCCTGAGGAGCTGAGGAGTCTGAGTGGCTACTTTGCTGCCAAAAGGGAAGCCACATGACTTCCCTCCCCTCCTCCACCCAGTGCCAGCCTCAATTAGGAGTGGCAGAGTACTGACTGAACTGTGCTCTGATTCAGTAGACAGCAAACAATCATGCTGATTCCAGAATAAACAAGAGCCAGATTTAGGGCAATCCACAGAATGCAGATCTCCTGAATCCTCCAACTGTAGGAATTTGTGGTGTAACCCCTGGAGCTGTGTTTACTCACTCTACATCATCCGAGGGAGTTCCCTTCATCTTCTTGAGGCCAGTATCAACATCAGCCAAAAAATATTTGGACGTGGCCTGAGGAAATTCCTGCTGTACCTTCTAATTCATGGTTCTGGGTCTGCTCAGGCACAAAACCCAGCATCACCTTTGCACACTGTGTGATAACTAGGGGCAGTTTCACCTGTGGTTTTATAATCAAGACTGTTGATGCTAATATTACTATCTTTAGAGTAACACCTACTCACTCACAGTATATGGAATGCTCTACTGTTACTGTTCTGATTCAGGTGATAGCGACTACCATTCCCAACGCCTGGCTTTCATGATGGGCTATTTGGCTCATTATTCCACTGTATCCTGCAATATGAGAACTGTAAGTACTAATTACCTCAAACCCACTGGAATCTACCCACTTGAACACAGGGAAGAAACTGTCTGCATTTCACCTCTCTGGACCCACACCTGCCAGTGCAAAATGTCTTCTGTACCTTGTAGTCACGCGGTAGCACTACAGCAGAGTTCAGTTCACATCCCCCAGTATGGGACTAGAGCTTTTGGTTTTATAAGCAGCAGTACCAGTCACTCTTTCCCAGCAGGACCTGGAAAAGTTCACATCAATAACACAGTCCTGGGACCACAGTTATGGGTGCCACAGCCACAGAATCACTCAAGCTCGCAGGAGGGACAAGGGGACAGCACCTAGTATGTTCCACAACAATAGGAACAAGACCATGGCTATCACAATTTCTAGTGTAACTGACATCCAGCTCCTTGGAGATTGGATATACACACACTATGAAGCCCACACTCACCTCAAAATCACACTTTTATTCCTACAAATCATTGCAGTATTATTTATAGACACAGATGAAATTGATTAAAACAAAAGAAATCACTCAGCAATTACATTTCTGGGATCCCCTAGAATCAAAGCCAAAGCATCAAGACAAGGGATACTCTGCATTCAATCTAAATTATGAACTCTTTTCCAATAAAACCTACGCCATAAAATAGGGCTATTAAAACAGAATTGCAAACATCAACATAGGTCACAGGAAACACAAAAAAGCAAGTTAGCATGAGACCTCAAGAAGAACACCATAGTTCTCCAGAAATAGATTCTGTTCTGGAGATCAATGAAATGCCAGAAATAGAATTCTTACACCCACAAGGGAGACTCAGAAGAAGCTCCTATCTCCTGGCTTTGGATTAGCACAGCTCTGGCCATTGTGGCCATTTGGGGAGTGAAGCTATGGATGAAAGATCTCTCTGTGCCTCTCATTCTCTCTCTCTCTCTCTCTCTCTCTCTCTCTATATATATATATATATATATAACCTTTTCAAGTAAATAAACCTTAAAAAATGAGATTTTACACTTTAAACATAAGCAGCCCACTTTATGTCATTTATACCTCAACAGTGGTGATTTTTAAAATCTATTTAAGCAGCGGAAATTTGTGGTGCAGCAAGTTAAACCATCCACTTGGGATGCCCGCATCCCATATCATAGTGCTTGTTTAAGTCCCTGCCACTGTACTTGTGATCCAGCTCCCTGCTAAAGCTTCTGGGAAACAGCAGATGATGGCTCAAGCACTTGCCTCACTGCCACCCAAGTTGGAGACCTGGATAAATTTCTGGCTCCTGATTTCTGCCTGGCCCCCAGTCCTAGCTACTGCAATTGGAGAGTGAACCAGTAGATGGAAGATATTTCTTTCCTCTCTGATATCCTGCCTTTCAAATAAATATTTAAATTTTTTACTTGATTTTTAATTGCATATAAATAAAATCATACCGAAATAATTATTTCATGGCTTGTATCTTTCATTCTGTATCATGTTTTGAAATTAACTTTGTTGATTAATTGGTAGTACTTTATGTGCTCAAATTAATACACATATTTATCAATTTTGCTGTTGATAAACACTCAGGTCCCTTATAGTCTTTGTCCATGGTGAACAATGATGCTGCAATATACACTCCTGTTTGGAAGTTTGTCCCTGGGATCATAATCAGGTTAAGGCTTCCACATATGAATTTGTAGGAGGAGAGAAATAGCAGCTATGGTATCACCATGGTCTTCATTCCCAAACGCTCTGGGTATCTCTTTTTTGTTGAACTTTGCATACCCTTTGCTATAAAATGCCCAATCATATCTTTTTTCCATCTTTATTGGAATGTTTGCATTGTTCTTACTGATTCATAGGTATTCTGTACATCTTTTGAATTGATTTCAGTTTGGTCTTTCTGTGTTACAAATACCTTACAGTTTTTGGCTTATATTTTCACTTTCTTAATAATAGGTTGTAGAAAATTTTAATTTTAATGCAATCAATGATATTTTTAGAACTTTAACATATGCCTTTGCCTTTTTAAAGAGTTCTTTCATTCCCTAGGATAATATCATAAAACTATTAGCTTTCATTATTTCTCAAAAATTTTACAAATTTGCACTTACTATAAAGAGAATTAGGGATGTTTTGTTTGTTCGCTAATTTATTTAAATTAATAACTGGCCAACCCAAGGCCAGTGCTGTGGTGTAG